TAGTAGATATTTGCCTTTATGTGTTGTCTAGTGTATACAGTACTCATATTTCACAAAGGTATCAAGTTTCATTCGAGGGAAGTTGTTTCTTTCTGGTTCTGTGTTGTGTTTGGTAACTATTTATCCCATTTTTTATCCTTCCTCTATGGAATCACAAAAGTGCCGGATCCTTCCCCTCCTCAATTTCCAGGAAAATAAATGATAGATGGGAAGTGGTGGGGGAGAGGGGTCATAGTAATGCCCAGCACATGCTGTCTCCCAGGTCTGAATTTTGATTAAGTGGCTAAGGATAAGGTAAGACTCATCCCTGAGTCTTAAGTAAGACTTAAGGTAAGACTTAAGGTAAGACTCATCCCTGAGTCTTACCAGTGGCTGTGATGGCAACGTTCAATGCAGCTGTCAGATAATTGCTATTTGCAACATGAATCAATAATTTGAAAGAGATCATACATTCTTAGCCCTTGGTTGTAATTTATGACCTCTAGTTTATAGAAATAGTGCAGATAATTATACTGTTAATTCATCACAGTAATGTAATATTATTTAAGACTTACCTTAGGCTATTTTCCCTGACAACTATTTTGCATGCACTCTCTCACTACGTATATTGCGCAGTGTTTGAAATAGTATTTAACTCTCTAAGGGCACGCACACTTGGGTTCATAGCTCTAAATCTAGAGTTCTAGCTCTCAACCCTTCACTGTCCTATCTATTGTCAACCTATTTAGTTTCTTATCTATTATTTTCAACTCATGCAACATCTCTTGAGGACTTCATTTCTATGAGACAGGGCACTATACACTGGATTTACACAGTTTAATTTGATATTATCCCTGCCTTAGTTGCAGTTTATTAAGAAGAGACCGACATTTCAGCAATGAAGTGAAATTGAATATGGTACTCACCATGATAGATGTCAGGGATAGGGAGAGGATTAATTAAAGATAATGGTCGGTTCACGGATCAGGGTCAGAATAGGATTTACAGCAAAGTGGCCTGCTAACACTTTAAAGATTATGAGGTATTTTGTGGCAGCCAAAATACAGGAGAGATTTTAAGAAGAGGTAACACCTTGACTAAATTTTTGTAGCAAGGAAACAAAGTGCCATATGTTAGAAATGGAATTTAGATTGTCCGGAATAGAGAGAGGGGAAATACCTATGTGGGAAACAGCACGTGAAAGTTTAAAACGTGGGCAAAGGCCAGATCATGGAAGGTATCAAAGGTCATGATAACAATTTACACTATTTTGCTGCATTTAATAATAATATGAAGATGTTTTTGAAAATAGATAATAAAAGGATCAATTAGAAATTTTGGAAGGTGTGTTTATATTTCAATTATATACTGAAAAGATTATAAAATTATGATTAATCTTTGCAATGGTACCCAATATTATATCTAGTGCATTATGACTTACAAATTCTAAGAGATTGAGTGTAGATCCACTCCAAGGAACTAAGAGCTTTTAAATTATGTATACTATTGCTTTTTATTCAAACTGTTGTGTCTTTCTGAGATGTAGAATTAGCTCTGGGTAAATCGTTTGTAGAGATTTGTCTTGACAATGTTTTCATCTTCTGCATTCTCTGAAGTGCCCTCTCCCTCATCATACCTTGTTTTCCCAAAATTCCTTTTGTAGTTCAATGATACTTTTAAGCATTATCCACATACGGTTCTCTTGGGACATGGGTTACTCCCCAGTGGCAGCAATCACAATAAAAAAAAAAAAACTTAGGTTAACAGTAGAGGCTATGTTTATTGGGGCTTTCTTTGTTTTTGTTTGTTTGCTTGTTCTGAGACAAAGTCTCACTCTGTCGCCCAGGCTGGAATGCAGTGATGCAATCTCAGCTCACTGCAACCTCCACCTCCCAGACTCAAGCAATTCTCATGCCTCAGCCTCTCTAGTAGCCTGGATTACAGGTGCCTGCCACTATGCCCGGCTAATTTTCTGTGTATTTAGTAGAGACAGGATTTCATCATCTTGGCCAGTCTGGTCTCAAACTCCTGACCTCAAACCATCTGCCCTCCGCGGTCTCACAAAGTGCTGAGATTACAGGCAGGAGCCACCATGCCTGACCAAATCTATGTTAATATAGTATCTCCATCTGAGTTTTATTATTTGGATAACCTAAAACGTGGCCTTAATTGTTGAAATTTGAGTTGCAGCACGTGATTTGGTAAGTTGTGACCTTATTAATAAGAATTTTTCAGCAGCAATTAAGAGTGTAGACATATCCTGAATATTGTATTGAATCGTTTAAGGCTCCACAGTTTTCTGAGATTTATTATGCATCATACTTCACTGTCCTTAAAAAATTTCTTCCGATTTCTCAGTATTAGTCATGGTATTTTCTTGATGTAAAAAGTGTCCGAAAAACAGAGATTGAAAGAATAAATAAAATTAAAAAGTGTCAGAAAAACAGGGCCTGAAAGAATAAATAAAACAAAACGGTACTTCAGAAACAGGCAAGCAGCATAACACTTCCCATTACTGGTCCTCTTGTTCTTCAAGGTCTATTTATTAGCTCCCTCCCTCTGCATTTAGAGTAGAATGAGAACTAAATATCTTAAAAAATGGAAAATAAAATGAAAAACATGAAGTCCAAGATAAAAAAAAAAGGTAACTGCAGTGTGAATTCATCTTTCCTCCTTGTGGTTTACTTCAATTGGCACTAAAATGAGTGCTTGTACTGCAAATAACCTCCTCATTCTTTATCCCTTATAGATATGGTCTGTACCTTTTGGGAGCATTGTGAAAATAATATTTATGTTGGGAAAGTAATCTGCTCTGACATTACAGAACCAAAGCATTTTTGATGAGCACCAAGGATATGTCTTTCTATAGGAATTTTGTTACAATACATATCGTTAGAAAATCACTAGGACATTTTCTCATAAGTTCAAGGTAAAACCATTTATTATATTTACCAGTTTACATATATCTAGTTAGATGTATGATTCATAACTTGATTACAATAGGAGTAAAACATATCACTAAAGAACTAGATAACTTTTGTACAGCATAACCATATTTTGATATTATTAGGTCTTTTAAAGATTTGTTCCCTCTCGTTTTTTATATTCATTTATGCTGCTTAGATCAAACCAAGTAGGACATTTGCTGCTCATTTACTAAGGAAGAAGAAATTTTAACAACTTGCTAAGTGTAGAGTTCTATTAAGTGACCCTAGGACTCCTTAGAATTGAAGAGGCTCCAAAAAAAGAGTATGGCATCCCGCTTTGATAAGCAACCTAGAATTTTTAAAAAGAGACTTTGACTTATAAATTGTTGCAGGTTTTATTTAGTTTACAGTGTTGAAATACTATTTGTATTTCGAAGTGTTGTATACAGTCCTGTAACAGGTACATTTACTAAAAATCAGTCCTTCAAGATGTTATACAGTCTTAAGCCGTAAACTAACTGCTGTGTTCCAAACTTGCTACCAAAAAATAAATAAGTAAAATAAAATAAGACCCAATTATCCTCCTTTACTTTACATTTGAGGTTTTAATTTCAGAAATATTTCATTCAGATTACTTAGTGGAGAAAAAAAAATCCAATTTGTAACTCTACTAGGACAAAATGTGATTTTACTTTTCACATGTTTGCATGGTAGCGAGATCTCACCAACAATGCTGATAATGCCAGACAGTGCATATCCCAAAAGCTAGGACAGCTTAGTGCATCAGAATCTCACATTTTCTTAAGGTAGTTTTTCCCAGAAAGTGATCATTATTGCCTCGTGTTCTGCTCAGGGACCATGAAGTCCTTCAAGAACACAGCTAGGTCTGATTGACTGTTATATCATTGACAATAATCATAAATGGTATGTAAAGGTGTGTTGAATAACACAGTATTTGCTTTTTTTTGACTTTTGTAATCCAGAAATACATGAATGCCTTAAAAGTAATTTTTCTAATGAATGCATAAACTCATCAGTATGATTATTTGTGTAAGTTACTAATTTACTTTTTAAAATATTTATCCATTGAAAATATATATTTTTAAACAATCACTTATATAATTTACACATTATTAATTTGATTGATAGAAACATACTCCTTAAGTAACCTTTTGTTCACACTCATTTATTGTCCAAAATATAATAAATATTTATAAGTAACATTTCTCTGATAGGAAATATTGATAAATATTTTTAAGACATTCTTTTATTCTGTAGGTCATTTAATTATATTTCACATGGAAAATGCCTTTAGTTCCAAGACACATACCTGACAAGTAAACAGTTTTAATCTGATCTTTTTTAGCTACATTTATTAGAATTCAGAATTGGAACAGTCTAAGATTTCGTATGTCTATGACTGCTATTCTCTACCCTGACTTCTCTCAGAGTTCAACTGGTCTTAGATTTAATTCAGCTTTTCATATTCCCATCATTTTACTGTCAAAGTAGGCTGACAGATTCATTGTATCTAGATATATGCAGACTTGGTGCAAGGCACAGACAGAAAGGATGTGGACTGATGCATTCAGCTATCAGGCACCTTCTATGCACTGCTGAACAACCCATTCCGAGCAGGGTTCAATGACATGATTCATTGAGAGTTTGGCCCACCCAGGAATGGGGGCAAAGCAAAAAATGACAATATTTTTAACAATATTTCAAGAAGACAATTGTTGAAATGAAATACTCAAATCAGTTTCTTTGAATCCATCCAGGTGGATTGGTGACAGGCAGAATGCTGCTCTAATGAATTAGGGGAAAGTGATGGTTGCTTGAACTAGATTGATGTGGTGGAGACACAGAGAAGAAGAGAAATTGGAGAGCTATTGAGGAGAAAAATCAATAGGACTCGACCAACTGATTACGCAGGTTAAGCGAGAAAAGAGTCAATGATGACTTTTAGATTTTATATAAATTTTCATCCATAATTATCCATAAAATTGTCTGACAAAACAAAATGATATACTCAGTAGAACCTGAAATATAGCTCTTGTGCTTCAGTAAAATTCTGTTCACTATAATGCAACTTACAATAATGTGAAATGTTGGAAACAGGAGTACTACTGGATTATCAAGGAGTCAGTCTTCTGAAAGAGTTCGAATAGTTTCCTAAAGAGTAAATAAGGCGTGAGTGATGTTGGGGCTATTCTGGTACAAGTGAGTCAGGTAATAAAGGCAGGGCCATTTGCTATCATGTACTATCCACTCACATTCACATCGAGTGCTCACAGGAGTGTCTTCAACTCTGAATATACAGGATGCTGTGTTTCAGTCTCAAAGTTCTGATACAGTGTTTTAGTCTCAAAATCCTGTCTCTGAACACTTTTGCAGCCTTAAAGAATATTGACAGCCTCCAAACCATTGGTTTTTTAAATATTATGTCTCTTTATATTTCCCGTATTTAAAATTAAAACCCCACACAAACACATACGCACGAACACACACACACACACACACACTATTATGTATGTCAGTCAGAGTGGTGACATCTTCTCTCACCATGTAGCCTCAAAGAAACTCCACTGTACCTATGTGAGAGAAAGACAGTAGAAAAATTCACATGGCAAGCAGGTTAGTATGAAAGTAGCACAATCCTTTAAAAGGATGGCATGGATCATCAGGCATCCCCACACAACACTTTGAGAATCACTGCTGCAGTATTAATAAAATGAATGGTATTTATTGACCATCTACTGTGTATGACAGAATATGCTAGAGCCTAGTCATATATTGTTATTCGATTTTCAATAGCTTAGAGAATATTATTTTCATATAACATTTGGGCAATTGATGTCTAATGAGACAAATGTTATTTGTCTAATGTAATGTTAGATAGGAAAAGAATTTCAAAGCCAGATCAATCTGCATCCAGAATCCATCTTTCCCTTATATGTTACAATTTTACCAAGTAACAGTTAGTCAAATGGTATTTATTTAGGAATAATTATGAAAATTGCATTGGGAAAAAATGTTGCCAGTACAAGATCTCTAAGGTTTCCTGCATATGTTTTTTTTCTGCTTCTTATGTAAGTGTCCAGTACTTTTTGGGATCAAAAAATCAAGTAATTAACTAGGCATCTGGAACTGACATACTTAGTTTTGTCTAACTAGTGGAGGTTTATATATGAGAGTTTCTTCATAAATTTATTTCAAATTTCACTTACTTTTGTGATAAAAACTCATTTTTATAGAATCACATGTTACAACCCCCAAGTTGAAAATCCAGGAGTGTGTGTTTGTATATGTGTGTATATTTTTTAAACTTAATAGAGAAAAATATAGTTTAAAATGTATTCTAAAATACTGGTAATAATGCTAATATAAGACATGCCATGAGCAGAAAAAAATGATTTCTTGAAATAAAATTTAATAAAGTTTGGCCTTAAGTCGATTGGCCTAATTTTAGTGCTAACATTTTAATTTCTGGGTTTCAATTTAGAAAGACAGCCAAAAATTACTCTTCTGCTATCATAAACTGTTGAAACAATGTAAGATTTACTGGTGAGAGAGTTTATTAAGTATTAACGTATACGATCACAAGGTCCCACAGTAGGCTGTCTGCATGCAGAGGAGCAAGAAGAGCAAGTCCCAGTCCCAAAACTGAAGAACTTGGAGTCCAGTGTTTGGGAGCAGGAAGCATCCAGCACAGGAGAAAGATGTAGACTGGGAGCCTAGGCCAATCTTCACGTTTTTCTACCTGCTTTATATTTGCTAGAAGCTGATTCGATTGTGCCCACCAGATTAAAGGTGGATCTGCCATCCCCAGCCCACTGACTCAAATGTTAATCTCTTTTGGCAACACCCATACAGACAAACCCAGGATTAATACTTTGTATCCTTCAATCCAATCAAGTTGATAGTATTAACCATCACATTGTCTGTTAAATGATATACGTATTCTGAAGATTTAACCGTGAGCACAATCAACATAAACCTTGACCTCACAAAGCACACCCTAGTTGAAGACATAAACATTAAGCTAATTAATCACAAAATAGGTACATATTTTTATAGCAGCGGTGTACTGCTACTAGAAAATACTCTAGATTGAGAATCATATATTTTTACTTTAGAGATAATTTAAATGTGATGATATACACCAGATTGTAAATAAAATTTGAGAAGATTATGCTATCAATTTTGAATTTGTATTTATGAGGAAGATGACAGTAAATTATAGCCAGGTATTTGGTCATTGTCATCTGTATTCAACAATTTTTGTCTGCTTTTCTGCTGATTTTTGCTCTATTATTTATGGGTTTTTTGTTTTTTCTTTTTCCTCATTTCCATGTGTGATTTCCTTGAAACAGGACTCATACTTTGGGGATTAGAACTAGTTACTTTGTGATCTTGGATTAAAGTCTTGACCTGATATAAAGACTCGTGGTGGATTAAATTCAATGGACGAAAAAGCAAAGGTTTGTGGGAAGAGAAACCTAGCACATTCTATTTTTGCATCTTTAAATAGTAATAGTTCTGAGTCCCAGTTTTCTATAAAATTATCAATGGATTTATTGTGTTTGTATATATTCAGAAAGAATAAATTGGGATTTGGAGACCTAAATTATTTACATCATGTAATAGTGATGTGATCGTAACGTTTCTGAATTAATTGAAAAATTATTAGAGTGCAGGATAATGAATAGTCAACCACTAAACAGATCTTTTGTATTAATATCTATGTATTTCTTTAAGACCGTATCAAGTTCAGATTTCTTACAAAGAATTTACCGTTTTTATAGGATATATTAATAATAATACTAATGATAATGTATTTAATCCTGAATGATCTTCATGTTACATACTGAGTGCTTTCTTCACATGTGTGCAGGGGCTTTATTTTAAGAAATGCTATCAGAGAAAATGTATGTGAATCTAGGAAGAATGTTACGGAAAGGAGAAAGACATCTTTTTTGTAGTCATTTATCCTGGGGTTTATCATAAACGGACAAAATGAGCATCTCTGTGGACAAGTGGACTGCAGTCCCTCTGGGAGCCCTCCGAGATGCTGTATAGAATACACTCCAGGCCGGGCGCGGTGGCTCACGCCTGTAATCCCAGCACTTTGGGAGGCCCAGGTGAGCGAATCACGAGGTCAGGATATGGAGACCATCTTGGCTAACACGGTGAAATCCCATCTCTACTAAAAATGCAAAAAAATTAGCCGGGCGGGGTGGCGGCGCCTGTAGTCCCAGTTGCTCCGGAGGCTGAGGCAGGAGAATGGCGGGAACCCGGGAGGCGGAGCTTGCAGTGAGCCCAGATCTCACCACTGCACTCCCGCCTGGGCCACAGAGTGAGACTCCATCTCAAAAAATAAAAATAAAAATAAATAAAAATAAAAATTAGCTAAGTGTGGTGGCACGAGCCTGTAATTCCAGCTACCCGGCAGGCTGAGGCACGAATATTGCTTGAACCCAGGAGGCAGAGGTTGCAGTGAGCCGAGATGGCCGCGCTGCACTCCAGCCTGGTGACAGAGTGAGGCTCAGTCTCTAAATAAATAAATAAATAAATAAATAGAATACACTCCAGATGGGAAAGAATAGGTACTCATCCACGGATTCTCCTGACGCTGTTCAACTCCCTCACCATTTCACACTGGCCCACGATGAAATGGATGAACAAATTCCAGCAGGCACAATACCAGCTGCAGGCAGAGGAGTCCAGGCAGAAAGTGAGCTGTGTGCGTGGGCTGCTGCAGCTGAGGTGAGGTCGGTTCATGCCTACCCACGGACGGTTGCCGTGGCAACACTGGAGTCACTTTTTTGGTCAGGAGACTGTGAAGTGGGTGCAAGAGATTTGGCATTTAGTAGAGATAGGGTTATTTCAGCATCTAGGCTACATTAAAATTGAATCCAGTTTCTTTGACCCTTTCTCTTGCATCTTGCTTCTATCTCAGGGAAAAGAGCTTCTATTTTGGAGAGCAGTAAACTAAACTTCTACTCTTTCCTGTTCAGCCTTCCAAATTTCCCCTTGCTTCACGCTTCTGGCAGGATTGGGCTTACGAAGATTATTCACGTCTCCATCTCGGGTGGGAACACTGGGTTCTTGATGAGGACCAGACCTGAGACTGGAAGACGAAACACTGGTAATCGCTTTTGGCATAGATGTTCAAGGAATTTGTGTTAACACTCTCATATTGACTGCCAAATACTTCATACTAAGGCTTATGGAGAAGACAGCAAAAATTTGATTTTTGCTGCTAGAAAAATGAGTTTCATCTTCACCAAACTGATCAGGACAGTGAAACTATGTTTAACAAGATGAGAAATTATGTGTGCCTACATTGTCTGATTAATAACTAGGATCTATCTCACCTTTTATGTTGACTATACATGAACTTCTTATGTTGACTTATGCACCTCCTATGCACCTCTATACATGCACCTCTTATGTTGACTTATGTTGACTATACATGAACTTAACATTTCTGTTTACTTGTCGTAATTATTAGCTGTGAAGATGTTAGTGTCAAAAATTTAGCTTTGTGCTTATTGAATTTATTTTATATGTGAAGTAAACCTATGTGTGTGTGTGTATGTGTGTTGATTTCCATTTCTTAATTGTCACCTTGGTTCAGAGCCTTCATACATGATGCCTCTTCTGCTCAGAATTCTTTCTCCAACCAAACTCCCATCATGCCCAGTAATTGCTCTTCTTCATTGATGTTTCAACTCAGGGAAGATTTCTAAAAAACCCTGCCCATTCCCCCAGTAGAAGTGGATATTTCCCTGTATTTCTCTTTATTATATATGAGTTTTTACATTTTTTAGTAACATATGTTTTCCCTACTAGCATAAATTTCATGAGTGCACTGGCTATTCAGTTCTGAACTTAGAGCCTTAAATTTCTTGGTAAATATTTGTTGAATCCAATAGTTAACATACAATATATTAAAATAGAATAATACAAATTCTCTCTAAGTACTTAATCTTAATTTATTTAATACAATAAAAATGATACATATCAAACAAACAAATTTGTTTGAGCTCTTTGGAGATTCTGGATATGAGCCCTTTGTCAGATGAGTAGATTGCAAATATTTTCTCCCATTCTGTAGGTTGCCCATTCATTCTGATGGTAGTTTCTTTTGCTAAGCAGAAGCTCTTTAGTTTAATTAGATCCCATTTGTCAATTTTAGCTGTTGTTGCCATTGCTTTTGGTGTTTTAGACATGAAGTTCTTGCCCATGCCTATGTCCTGAATGGTATTGCCTAGGTTTTCTTCTAGGGTTTTTATGGT